GGGGCCCCCCCCCCCCCCCCCCCCCCGCCCCCCCCGGTGTTTGCCATCGGGGTTGGGTTTTCGTCGCTTGGCAACGACGTTGTAAAACAAGCCAATTCACTTCGTGAAGTCGGCAACTAGTTTACCATTTTTCTTTTTTTCCTCTGTTTTTTTTTTGGCGGTAACCATAATGGTGGTCGAGTAGATCATGTTGTGCGGGGTGGAGAACCCTCGCTCCGCGCAACGGGGGATGATCGCACCACGTTGTGTTAAAATGGTCAAGGCATCCTCGAGGCAGTTACACAGTGCTTGCAACGTCTCTGGAAGTGAAAGCACCAGAAAATAAATTAAGTCATACGCAGCTGTCATCCGTACGCAAGGAAGTAAGCACAAGATGCCGAACACCCTTAGCAGGATGCAGCTCACCCTTCATGCGACTCGCCGAATACCTCACGGCGCTTCGCGCTTGGTGATGTGAGAGCCTTGTCCGGTGAGAACCCGGCGTGCTCCGTCCCGGCTTTGTAGGGATGCGAGGTCAATGGTCTAACGACTACGGCATGCACGACTATGAGTACCCCCCCCCCCCCCACCGTCGGACGCAGCATTGCCCACGGCCTTCTGACAGCAAGCAGGTGTACAGAAACGTGTCCATATGCGCCAGTTGTTGCTCCTAGTTGAAGTTGAATACCCTACATCACGCAGGCACTGCAGAAATACGCCAAGCTCTTCTTCACACAAACCTCTCCACCCATTGAAACATTGGCCCTCCCACCGCCACCCCCCCGATAGCCTTGCAGCAGCATGATTCTCTTCTCCCTGGACGCGAGAATGGCAATGCTGTCCGACGGTGAACACCTTTTTTCTGTTTTTTCTTGCTTGTCTTGCTAGATTCGATCGTGTTGAAGTGCATGCTTCCCCTCCAGTCACACAGCGGTGTAACTGAATCCTTCCTACAACTTGCTTCATCAGGGGACGAGGATTTGACCGCCGCCCAGGCGGAGAAAAGGCGGGCCATGGATGCAGCGTCTGAGCTAACCGGCGCCAACAAGAGAAAAGGCGACAGCAAGGACGGTGTGGACATGGACATCAATCTTCCCGGCGGGGCCAAGCTTGGCGCTGGGGGAGTGAAGGACAAAACGAACGGCATCGTGGTAAGGAACGAAACGGTGACCTTTGTTGGTCTTTGCCCCATCTGCGTCGTACGTTGAACGACTGCACATTCAGCAAGTATGCCGCCCGATATGCCGCAGGCCCTTCGAGACAATAAGTAGGATTCGACAAGAATATGTCGCTTTTGCTCCAGGGCACGGAATGCTGTCAGTTGTGGTCAATTTGTGCCTCTTGAGCGTAAGGGAATGGCGCGTTGTCGCCTCCTTTTTGTTCTGCGTACAGACGCCAGCGTTCTGAGTGTAACGAAAGGGCAGTCGAACCGCAGCCCACCATGCTGAGGACCGAATATGGGCTAGACAGCCAATCCCGAAAAACTGGTGTGCTTTACCTTGCTTGGAATCTCAAGGCAAAGATCAACACCACTCAACGGTTACTCACCACTGGGATGTCTCCTGGGACTTGACAATCCCTCGTCACCGAGAAGCTGCCACCAGTTCAAATGGGGGAGGCTCTTGGGCGCTCGGACTGAGCTGCTGCTCCTTCGGCTGTTATTCGCTTTCGGGTGCTCCTCCGCTCATGCGCAGATTTCACCACGGCCTGGTTTCGTTATCAAGACGAAGTTGGTTGACAAGGGCATGAAGGTGTTCGTCAACGTTTGCCAGCACGAGCGCATCGGCGAGTCGAGCATGGTCAAGAAACTAGACAAGGAAGGCCAAGAGGTGTGAGGCAGGTTGCGTTTCGATCGGTTATCGAGACCTCGTTGTGAACGATCGGCGATATCAAAGGGTAGAGGGAGAGATCGCTCGGGGTTATATGGCGTCTTGGCGCGAGCCGTACTCAGTTTGTCACGCGCAAAGTTCATGAAAGCTGATGGTACCACGCTCATTCAAGAACGCTGGCAGTAAGCGCCTAGGCTTATGATGGGACGATGGCCGTGCCATGTACCGTTTCGATAGTCTGTTTTCTTCAATCCCACAACCTCAGTTGGCGATGATCGTTCTCAATACCCAGCCGATGGTCGATACCGAGAACATGCATTCTGCGTTGTTGACGGTATTTGGGGTTCTTGGAACACTCGAGTAAATCCCCCCTGTCCCTATACCATCCTTTTCGGCCACACGTATGCATCAACATTTTGTATATCGATCGTGCGGAAGGTTACCCTTAGGGTTCATCGGTACTTGTAAAGCCATACTGTGTCATCCTTTCCCGGCTCTTGCGCGTTCCAATACAACGCAAACACAGATGGAGCGTTGAGGTCTTTGGGCTCGGCATCGGCTGCAACGTTTGATTTTCAGTACTTGAAGTCTCTTTGTGAATCTCGGAGATGCGTTTGTAGTTCTTTCCGTGGGAGTCGATCATGTCTTGAGCTGTGGCTCGATGCCTTGCCTTCATTGACAACGGCCCTTGTCTCCTTGTCCCGCGATATCACGTTCCGCATTGGCAGGTGGAGGGCTTGAACATCCCGATGAGTGTAGGACCTCCCTCCGTAGACAAGGACAACGCCGGGCTAGAGTGCATCGTGTATGACGTCATCATCAACCCAAAGGTGCGCCCTTGGAACTACTGTAGTCCATGACTAATCACTTTCTTCAGCTCGGCAAAGAAAACGAACCCCCTCTCTCTATGTGCGTTCGTATTGTGGTAGATCATGCTGTTGCTGTTCTAATCTCCCCCGAAGGATAACGTACCACGCCGCATGGAAGGACATGTGTCAGAATGCGGCAGGTGTGGAATATTGTGTTAACGCTTGCATTCCGTACCACCTTTTTTGCCCCCACTCTGACTCGTGTGCAATTCGTGGTTCCGCCAGACTATCGAAGAGTGTGGCGCGGACAAAACCGGTGGTCAGCGGGATTGGGTGTGCCACTTGGCGATGCAGTCCGTCATGTCCAAGCACGACTGCCGGCTAGACCCCAAATACAAGCTGCCGAAGTTAACGTGAGGAAAGTAGCACCCTTGTCGCTATGGCAGTGACAGCAGCACGTCCCACTGAAGCCGAACACTTTGTGTGCCATGAAACCGTTTCCCAGTAAACGGTGTTGACGCTCCCTCCCACTTTTCGGTTTAGCAACAGCAACAACAGCAGCAGCAGCGACTGGTATGACTGCCCGTTGTATACTGTGTAGTATGCCGCGTCATTCTGCTTTTTCCCGGGGGCAATACTTGCCGAAAGGAAGACTCTGCACTTGTTCTTTGAGAGTGCCAGAAATCGACACACGCATGTAGCCTGTAGTGTGAGATATGCCATACCTTCGTTTCGAGTCGTCCTGTAGGTACAGCTGCTGCGACCTCTCCCGATACCCCGACTCAACAACACGTGTGTTTACTGTTCGACACGTGTTCGCAGCTTCAAAGGCAACAAAGAAGAGGGCCCGGCGAAGCAGAGGATCAGAGACGACTCTGCCAGGCCACAGATAAGGGAGCTCCGTGCAGGCGGCGGCAAGGACCAGGCTAAGGGGGGGTCTACTGCCGGCGACGGTAAGGGCGGGATGCGACCGGCAGCTGGAGGGTCAGCGAAGAAACGAGCCTCGACCATCCCGGTGACAGCGCTCAAGTCGACCGTGACGGTAAGGGGCGTCCTCGGCTGAAGCTCAATGTAGAGTTGAAAAGGGCGGCGACTACCTGAGACACAGGGGTGACAAGTTGCACGTCTACAACACGTGCGGAGGAGGTACGAGCTACTCGCCCGTCTGGGGGAGGAGACGTTGTGGTCTTGGTGTGTTGCACGAGCGGGTAGGTAGTGTCGTAGGCCAGGTTGCATTGATGAGGCTCTTTCCGGTCCTTGATTTTTCTTTGTGTCTTGGAGTAGCTTGTGGCCATGTAAATTGGGTTGTTGGCCTGGAGTACCGGGGAGGGCTTGCTGGATCGATCGAGGTCGGTGTTTTTTTTTTTTTTGAATGACAGCAACTACAACAACAATCTTTCATCGCCGTCCCATATGCATGTTGCACAGCGAGTTTTTTTCCTATCTCGACATTTTTGAATCCACGTCGTCCATCGGGCTAATCTCCGGAGATCCCCTTGTTGTTTTCTTCGTGCATTGTGGTGGAGTACACGACAAGCGCAAGGCCCTCCCGAACCTTGTGCCAACCTATCACACAAACGTATATTCAACCATATCGTGCGTTGGCAGGCCGTTTGGTCTCGTGGTGGTGGAGAGAGTACGGAAGAGCGCGAGTCCGAAGTCAGCGCTACATCTCTGGAAGACACGGTGCGAATACCTCCGGAGCATTGGCCGGACTCGCTGGTCGTGACTGCCGCTGGGCTGAGAACGGACGCCCTCGCCCCTGATGCTCTCGACAAGGCATGTACTGCGGACGACTAAATGGCGCACGACCCACGTGGTCCCCCAGTAGTTAGGCGCGTTGCTGTGTGTTGAGCCCGCTGTTCAGGACCGTCGACGCCGCTCGGTTATCCAGGGAAACGCTCTTTCCGAGTTCAAGAAGGGTAATGTCCGAATGGCCCAGCCGCGGAAGATCGCTTGCACCCACAACGCTTGCGGTTTCTCTGCCGTGACCATTGGGTGGCAGGGTAGGTCGTTTTGGTCCTTCGACCTCTAACCCCGCTTCAAATGCTTTGCTCGCGGGCATTTTGCGGCCGCCAAGGTGTGCACCTTTCACCGGAGGCACCGCGGAGCGAGCTGTCAAGATGCGGCATACCAGCACTGTAGTGCTGCTGACCAACCCATGGAACTTTTTTTGTTCTGTTCAAGTATCGCTGTGTTCGTTCATACGCACAAGGTTTGCAGCATTGACTTCCATTGCAAGTACCGTGTTTTTTACTGGGTGTTATTTTCGTGCTCAAACCATGCCCGTGCTTTGACCTTTCCTTCCCTTCCTCTTTTCTTGCCTCTCCCACGCGTACATTTTTCGTTATGACGATGTGCACTCGATGCCGGACCCCTGTTGCTTGTTTCCGGAGACAGATCGGAGTCGAAGCATCGGCGTACGAGGTCACGTTGAAGGCACCGGGCCATCTTCCCTTGCAGGCAAGTCGTGCTCTGTTCCATCATTTTGTAGGACAGTGGGCGCGGGACGTTGCGTATCAGCGACGGAATCGCGAAAACAGTCTCGGCATCTTTGGTGATGAAATCTACTACTCTGTGCAGGTGTAGCGTTTTCTCTGTAGGCACGTTCGGCTTTTGAAGTGGTGGGCTCTGTTTCGATTTGTTTTGGTACAGTTGGTGGCACTTGGCTGGTGGAAAAGCTCCCGCGCTGCTGCGGGTTTTGCTATGAGTCTTAAGCGTATTGCGGCACTCTCTTTTTCTGCGTGTTCGGGTATTTTTGTTCTCCCCGCAACTCCCCGCAAGGGAGGGGGCACGCACTTGGGGAACACTACCGCCTGCTGCGGCTAGGCAGGGAATGAATACAAAAATAATAAACATACATTTTCTGCAAGTGTTACTCTTTCTGCAACGGTGCACACCGTCTTGTTTTTTTGCATCGTCAGAAAGAACGCCGTCATCACCCTCGTGGTTGGTTTCAAGAAGTGCTTTTGTTGGTCTTGTTGCTGCTGCTGTGGTTGCGGCTGCATCCCGGTTGCAGCAGTCGCGCGCGCGCGCGTGTTGTGGAATGTGTCTATTATAGCGGCTGGCAAGAGGCGATTCACGTTGCATAATTTCCCATGTCTTCGCTTTGGTAAATGCTGCCTCTTTTCTCATGCACGGTTGTCACTCCATCACACAACCTCCAACCCGCACGGCATCGTTTCGACCACAATCCAACCGTTGTCGCCGCTGCTGATGCCGCAGGTCCGACTGCCCTACGCCGCACTCCCAGCCACGGCATCCGCCAAAACAAACAGCCACGAGGGCACCCTAGCCGTCAGCATCGATGTCGACAATTCAGACCTCACGAAACAAGCGGACGTCGGGTCCAAGCCGTGGCTACTCTCGAGCGCGCTTGAGGGCGGTGGCGAGCGAAAGACAGGGCGGGCGTCAGGGGGAGGAAGCGCAACGGCGTCTAGCTCTGCAGGAGGCGTGAAGGGCTCGGAAGGCGGCGATGATGCTCTGCCGGAGGATCGCTTCCATCTCAGGCTGCCGGCGGGTAAGAGTGGTTTAGGCTCGTTATCTCGAGAGCGGTGCTTGGACGTGTTTGTGTATTCAAAGCGTTCCGATTCTCCCCGGCAAGACTTCGCACATGCAGCCGTGCAGCCCCCCCGCAAAGTGCAATGAATGAAAAAGTTAACCTTGGACACCATTTCGACAGTATACATACAACGAAATGTAGACTAGCCGTTCGAGGTAAAACCATGGCCGAAGGGGATGGGTTGAAGTCTTTACATTGAATGGACTTGTTTTTCTGGCTCTCAGTTTCGATTTCCGAAAACCCTGTGGGTTGTTGTCCTTGTCGCTTCTGAGGCAGGGGTAAACCAGTACACTGGAGCCGCGGAGGGAGACGATGCGGACAGCAACCACGACCTCCTACCCGGGGGAGTAGATCGAAACCAAGAAAAAGAAGAAGAGCCGATTGGCGAGGGAGAAAGCCTGCCCGAGGAGCGGTTCCACAGAGCTGACATCGTCTCGCAGCACATGATCGACACTCGCGAACAACAACGGAAAGAGAAAGTGAGGCTACGTAGCTTGAAGTTTTTTCAATGTCACGGTTGGACTTGTTCGGCCTGTACCTTGATGCCGATTTTGTCTATCAAAAATTTACTTGTAACTTGGCGCCTGATTTCGTGATATGTAGCTGCGGTCCAGAAGTCCGGGGACGCGCACAGCGAAGAAATGGCCTTGAGCAAAAGTGAAAGAACGGCCGAAGAGGTTGCATCTTTTCTTGAGATAGATTTGAGACGGACGTATTCACTTCTCCGCCTACAATAGGTACGCCGAAGTGAAGCCCCGGGGGCTAGATTACGTGTTTTGTCTACTGCAGTCTCGTGTGCAGCTTCAGGTGCAGCGCGCGAGGGTGTATCGTTGCCACGTTTACCGGCACTCTCGGTGTTGTGCGTTTTATTTCTTTTCGGCTAAGGAACGCTCGCGGAACTAACTTGCCTCCATCTTTGACCGACCATGCCCTGCTCGAGAGATTGTGTTCCCGGGCGCTTACGAGTGAAGTGGTCCCGGTGCTATGCCGGTGCGATCCAGCCGATTTCAACGGCATTAACCAGCCGATTTTCACCCGCTTTATACGGGCAACCGGCAATATCCAGAGTATGAAATGACTTGAATATTCTATCTGTGCCAGACGATTTAACCGGCATGGCACATGGAAACCGTCGTTATTCGAACGGCATGATACTGTACCGGGACCACTACTATGTTTTCGAAAGAAGGTTACAGCAGTCGTTACGAATTCTGCCGTAATGGTGGTCTACATACAACTGTAAATTCTCATCATGTTCTAGGGCTGTTCTGATCCCTGCTCTTCACTTTTGTGGAGGACCGATTTTCTGTGTCCACAACCACAAACTAGCAGGAGTATCTCGTTCCTCACCGTTTCAGAATCTTGTCCCTTGGCGAAGAAGCCCTCAATGAATTCGAGGAGTTGTGTTGCTTGTTGCTTCAGACGGTTATGTGCAATCTACTGAACAAGTTCCAAAATGAAATATTCGTGACGAAATTCGCCTCTCCTGTCGGACACTTACGTCTCCTCTGTTGTCAGATTGACCGTGCGGAAAAGGAGCGAGAGGCCAGGAAGAAGCAGCCTCAAGACGACGGAGTAGAATACGTAGACTTCGACGGTAAGAGTGAACCCAAGTAACGCGTGCCCAGGCAGGGAGTCCCATTAATGTTGATGGTGAGAGTGAACCTCGAAATGGCTTTGCCCAAACCGGGAGTCCCATGTATGTTGATGGTAAGAGTGAGAACCCACATACGGATAAGGCTTGCCCAAGCAGGGAGTCGCATGTACGTTGATGTGAAGAGTGAACCCACATAAGGCGTGCCCAAGCAGGGAGTCCCATGTAAATTGATGTCAAGAGTGAACCCACATTAGGCTTGCCGAAACAGGGAGTCCCATGTATATGATGGTAAGGGCAAGAACCCACACAAGGATTGCCCAAGCAGGGAGTCCCATGTACATTGGTGGTAACAGTGAAACCTAGATGAGACTTGCCAAGGACGGCGTCCCATGCAGACTATGTAGTATCTCAGAGATTTACAGGAGGTGTGCACCCAATGTTTGCCATCTGCTGGGTTTTCCCAACAATGACGATGAAGCTGTTCTGCGAGGAAAAGCCCGTCTACCGTTTCACTCCTTGACCGGGCTGTGCGAATCTCTACATGAGGCTTTGCCCTGCTCTGCTTTGATGCCCTCCCGTGTGCTGTCGAGGTTATGCCATAGATTTGTTTTTTTATTCAAGGTGTATGAGTGTATTTAACTCGTGGTGAGTCCTCACGCCGTTTTTAGTGCCTGGTGCTGCGAGCTAGGGGGTAACACGTTGGCAGTGCTGATGACTACATGTCAATGTTGTCGCCAGGGACGCATTCGTGTCGTGTGGCATCATGTAGCTGTATCAGTCGACTTTCCTCAACGGACCGTTGTGGGTGTTCGCAACCGAAACCTCTAGAATCAGCGTCGTGAAACCTCGATCCTTCCACCATTCACAACTTCTATGAATTTTCATGCGCATACTGTGAAATCGGCTGACCACCGGCTCCCCCTTTCCTCTACGCATCTACAACGTAGACTATCGCGCGGGGGGCAAGTTGGGCCCGCCGGCGGTGCCCCCGCAACCACCAACCGGCGCCGAAGACGTCCAAGACGCTGCTGAAGAACAAGACCCGGAACTCTCGCGAGACTTGGCGGCTGCCGCGCGAGTATTGAGCGAAGCAGTTAAGGAGAAGGAAAAGGGTGGTGATGATGGTGCGCCCGTGGGGAGTCGACTGTCGTCGACATTCTGGGCGGAGTTACTGGACTGACGAGATGTTGGGTGACAGGCCCGGGGGTATTGTACCCTCGGCCGGTCTCTGAAGCCCGCTGCATATGTACTGGTTGACTTTCGCATGGCAAGAGAAAACTGCAACCCCTCGAGGGGCTTCAGAATTCGAGCACCGCCTGATCATGAGGCGTGGCTCTGACCTCGCTTGCAATGTTCACTTTTTCGGTTGTAAGTGGTGTAGGCCTACGATTACGGAGTGGACAAAATATCACAGGCTTGGCTACAGCACCATATGAGTGTCGGGGAGTCTTGTTCTCCATGGGGCCACTAAAGTATGGCATCGCGCGCGCGCGTGTGCTTGGTTTTCTGTTTGGCCTTGGCGAAGCGCTGGTATGGTATTCCACCACCACCCCTGTATTACGGCACCTCAGAGTCATTTGTGTTTTCGGCTATGTCGACAGCCAACCCTATCCTCCGGAAGACAGAATGTAAAGCATCTCTGTGCTGCTTGTGCGTCCCGTACCGATAGAACAACCGGCGGCCAAGCATTCAAGGCGACGGGGTTCGATCTCCATCAAGTGAATGCCACGGGTTTCTATGTCTACGTCTTCTCGATCACGCATGCGGCACTCCGCCATACACCGCGTTCGGCATGACATTGCCACGCGGCTTGCGCGGCGGTAAAGATCGCCCCTCTGCCGGTAACACCGCTCGCCGTGCTGAAACAACGTTGGCATGCCCGACATTTAGGCTCCTCTCCAACCACAGCTTTGTGCCTCGTATGATATGCGTTTCGATGACAGAGTACCTTCCGCTTAACAGACCTCTTCCTTCCACCAGTGGCTCCCTTCTCAGTGCCCCTCCCTGCAAGTCATCCTGTTTCACAAAACCACGCAGGGCGTGGAAAAAAATGCCGACGCCCTACGACCCACCAACTACGTGACTCACTTCCAACAACAGTAGAAAAAAAGAGCGAAGGATCAACGCTACAGCGCGGCCGTCGGGAGCGGGAGAGCGGCGGGGTCGTCTGGACCCCCTCCCGCCCCGGCGCCCCGCCCTTTTCCCGCCTTTTGTTGTTGCCTCGCTCCTCCTCCCCGCCGGCCCATCAAAGCCCCCCCATCGAGGGTAACCACTCGATCGGCAAAGGCGAGGCGGACGGCACACGATCGCTTGGGGATTGTCAACGTCTTGCCCGCAGGCGTGACCAGCTATGCGACATTAACACGGGACATGGATAGCAGGGAAGGTAGGGGGGTATTGTAGCTGCGAGTCGCTGGGGGGAGCTGGCCGACCAATTATTTCAAAAACGGAGCACCAGCGGACAACACGGACGTCGTGTTGAGAGCCAATTTCAAAACTTCAACGAGAGCTCTTGTAAGACACTGTGAAAATGATGCTGTGTGCCAAAATAAGGCTAGGAAATCGTTATCACAACAGGGTGCAAAAGCCATGTTCAACGAATACTAGACCAATACAATCGTTATATTTATTGTATCATCAGGTTCTTTTCGCGCGCATCAGGTCGTATTGCCACACAACTCGACAGAACGATACTCAGTGAGGAGACCCAACGTAAGCTTCCTTTGCACTACCAACCCAACCTGATCTCCCATATTCAGTGAAACACGAAATAAAAAACAGCCTAGCGACAGGCAACGCGATGCCGTCACCGGGAAAGCAACAGGCGGGTACGCTGCCGCCGTCTCGAACCCGATAATGGTTGGTCACGTGAGCGGAGGAGTCCAGAAACGTACGCTGCGCTCCGTCCACGAAGCAAGTTAACTCTCGCGAAACATTGCTTGTCATTAACAAGAATACGCGCACTCTCGGTTAGCCGCCAAAACTACAGCATGATTTCGACATCAGCGGCAACAGCGTATTTCACCTGGAATGTGTTGGCCGCTTCTCGCAGCACGATGCCAGCAACGTTCACCAACGAGGAGGCCGAGGCTCTCGACACCGTAAGGTAGCACCCCTGAGGGGGAGACGCACACGAAGACGAGGGGGGCGGGGGGGGGTAAGCGTGATACCGAAAACAGAGCCAAAAAATTGAAACGTGTGCCACTACATAAATGAGTAGGCCATTTATGGGAGAAGAACAGCTACTCAATGAGGTGATCATGGACAAGCATTGTGAAAGCCGGGAAATGAGTTCAGAAAAAATGAGAAACAAGTGCCAGAATATTCAGGAAGTGCACAAGAAAGAAGAGTACACTAATGCAGGACGGGGTTTGGAGGGGACAGGGGAGACGGCTGTTCTAATAGGCGAGAATTGCCATGCCCCGTCGGATACCTCATCGCACTTCTGGCTAACTAAACTATTGAAAGCCGTGGTGACCCGGGTGGGGAAACCGCACTGTAACTGCAATCAATGAAAATACAATCAGCATCACGCACAGCCAAGCCTCCAACAAAGAGGACTTAATGGTGGACCCGAACATCGGCCTATATTGCTGAAATGCGCTCAAAGAGCGATGGACAAGGATGGGGGGAGAGACGACGCGCGACGGAACATCTGTACGGGTCAAGCCTCGGGCAGGTCCTCGGTCGGGCACGCCTCCAACCTACCTGTAGGTCAGCCGAGAGGATCCTCTGCTGCAAAACCTTCTGGCTTGGGCACTTGGAGACCAGCCTGGCGGCGTAGTTTTTCCACACTCCATGAAGACCCAGCAGATCGCGGAAGGGTATGCTGCCTCCGTTCCGTGCCTCCAGCGCGTTCAGCCCCTGGGAAGATTTTCCGCATGATGAATGTATACAACGTTCGGAAGCGCGGGGGCAGGTAAGAAGTGCACGCAACCGGCCCATCTCTCTACACATGTCAGCAGCAACAAAACATTTTCTTGGCTTTTTTCGACGTCCGACTTTATTGTCGTGGTAGGGCATGTGCGGATAGAGGAGGTGTCGTTCGCAGTGAGCAAGGGGCCGACCGTGTTGAAAGAGATGGCAGCGGGGGCCAGAAGGCAAGAAGAACAATACTGGACGTCCAAAGAAAAGTTCGACACAGGAACAACCAGTGTGCAGCAATGCAGTGCTGCTTCCCGAGAATTAGGTATAACGTGCTTGGGAACGGAATTGACATCTACGCAATCAGGGTTCATCGCCTGGAAAATAGCCCTCTCACCATCTGTTTGCAGCGCTTCCCGCTCAAGCCAAGCTTCGTCGCTCTTCCCGCCTGCCGCTCCGCCCGCGCGCCAGCGCTCTGTGCCTCGGTCTGGCCAGATGCGAAATTGTCCAGGTAAACCACCTTCCCCTCGAGCTTGGACGCTAATGCCGCTGTCGTCTCGCGATGCCCTCTTGTCCCTCCCACCATACCCCGAACAAAGTCCGAAAATCGATCCAACGATGCCGCCGCCGCCGTCCTGCTGCTGCTGCTGCTGTTGCTGCTGTGCCTGCTGCTTGGTGTGCTGCCGCCGCTCTGGTGGGTAGATAACGCTGCGCGGAGTCCTTTCGGCAGGAGAGCCGGGGGTAGGCGGGCGTACATGACCTGGTCCTGCTGAGACCCGTCCGCCGTGATGGCGCTGGCACGCTTGTTCTGTGTTGCGGGCTGTTCTGCTGGCGGTTTTGTGCGTGTGCGGCGGTTGGGTGGGAAAGTTTGAGGCGGAATGTGGCTGATACAGGAAAATGTTCAAAACCATCCAAGTAAGGTTCGATGACATGCATTCACATGACGGTTTCTTTCGGGCTAGGCGAGAAAGGCGCACGAACGAGCCAGAAAGTTCACCGGATCTTTGCCTTTTCGCACACAATGGTATTTTTGCACACATGTGCATAGGATGGATCAAATCCCTATAGATCGAGCTAGCTCATTAAGGATTATGTCCCTGATGATCCGTAGGACATAGGAGGTCGGTGTAAGTTTTCCCGAGGTGATCTGAAGGACATTGGTGACCGGTGTGATAGTTTGCTCCATGGTGATCTGTAGGATATAGGTGATCTACTTAGCTCACGATCTGTCCTATATGCGCGTTTTTGCAACACACCCTCGACAGCATCTGAGCGCTGCATGAGGTCCATGGCCTGCAACTTCACCAACGACAAAGACTTCAATACATATCTCCCAGCAAGTACACGCCCCCGGCAAAAAATCTGCCTCCTATATGCGCTCCGGTGCTTGGGGGGTAGAGTACACCATTGTTCTGCTCCTACTGTAGGTCTACATGTCTTCAGCACCGTCGGAGCGAGAACCCTGTGCATGTCCCATAGCCAGCCGGTTGCGGGTTCCGCGCTGCCGCATGATACGCGCGCCAAGCCGCTGCGCACAGCACCAGCAGTAGTGCAGTACGTGCTCCGTTCTCTATTTGGAGAGTGCCGGGTCAAAGAACGTTTACCAGCGCAACCATCACCGGGGGGGGGTGCGGAAACGAAGCCGTGCTTGGGTTTCAAACAAAAAAATATGGTAGGCCTTACAGGGTATACACTTAACGATTGACGCGGAATCTTCACTTTTGAGGATTCACGCGAAAAGAAAGCCACTGTTGAATCTTGACGCAAAATGAATCGCGCCGCGTGTGCCCTTTGGAAGGACCAGGAACCGAAAAAAAATGCGCTGACGCTATGGATTCATTGCTTATCTATCGAAGACTCTGTCCTATGGATAGAGATGGACTCGTTGTGTGACATTAAGAAGCAAAAAAGAAAGAGTGAGCATGCGGCTACAAAACCCTGATGGACGAACATGTTCGAGCTTACGACGCTCCAAACAACCAGGAAACACGCGCAGAAGCGAAGGAGGCCATTGCACGCTCCGCTCGCGGAAGGATCCGTCACGAGAGGTACAACGAGTGCTTCTCAATCAAGCGATCCTCTCAAAGATTGACGTGCTCTGTCAGGCCGTTTGGGATCGCGGTGCTGCTCCTGGCAGGTGCCGGGGATTTGTCGACGCCGACGGTACAGTATGTGCGATTGCCCGCCCGTGGCGTATGCAAACACTTTTGGTACAACGGTTGGAAGCGGAAGCACGCCTTAGAACACCAGGCTGGAGGCACACCGGATGGTATTATTCGTTCGGCGGTTATGGGATCCCATGCTCAGTCGTCCCCACGACGTCGACATGTTGGTCTGTATACAAGCGAGTTCTCAGGACCTCATTGTGATTTGGAAGGCTTTTGAACTCTCCTCCGGGGCACTTTGGATATGTTTATCGGCAGGGTTGAACAGAGCGAAGCCAGGGATGGATTGTCCCGCAGCTTCAGGCTCGGCTTTCCCTCCTTGTTTTGCCGTGCTTGTTGGCCTTGGGCGGGGAGGGGGGGGGTTGTCTTTAGCGGTAGCGTCATCAAGCAGAAAGCCAAGGTCCGCCGATTACCGACGGAAACATGAAACCATTTCTGGTATTAGTCTTATGCCATTGTCCTTTGAGCACGAGTGCCTGTTCCCAGTCGGAATGGTCGCTTCGAAGTTTCGGGTCACTAGAGGGCCTAGACTCCAACAAGCTGCCAAAACATCGTCTGTCAAGCACGTCAAGGCAGCAGTGTGTTCAAAATTTGGTCCTTGCACAGACCGGTCGCCACACGGCAACCACACATGTTACGTAAATAGACTCAACGTCTGTTCGAAGCAAACACGTGACACCCAAGCGTCTTGTACGATGAAGCGTTCAGCTACGTCTTCTATCAGGGGTCAGTGCGCGATAGCAGAGATACGTCAAACACAACGTGTGGGGGAGACAACACCTACGAAATTCACCAAATATGGGGAAAACAAGACCCAACGTCTCGGGACGGGGGGGAGGGGGGGCGTACTCTTATGTTTTGCATGCCTTAGCGGTTAGACCATTGACCACGCGTCCTCGAGAGGACGGAGCATTGTTCCCACAGGACCGATCACCGATGGCCAATCGTTCCTTCCTACTTTGCCAAAGGTGGCTGAAAAATGTCTTCCCTAGTCTGTCTATCCTAACGGGACGGGGGGGGGGGGGCCCATTTTCTAATCTTATACCAATGGGTATGGCAGCACAACACGGACTACCACAAAGCGGAAAGGGCCCTACAACAACACAAGCTAACGGACAGAGAATGAAACAATGACATAAAATCCCACACCCTCAACACGCCTCGTGCACCTTGCATTGCGGTGGACCTTTGGCAGAGGGTATAAGCACTACATCCGAAGCAAGAAATGTGTTTTTCAAGAAACAAAAAAAATGCCACCGCATGTATGTATACCTACTAAGGCAGACAACAAAATCTACACGCCAGAGTAACGAGGACAACCATCGGTCACACTGGGAAATCACAACATTCCTTTCCTTCACTGCTGCTGCCTTCCCTGGGCCGTTTCGCAGTTGTCCCGACAACCCCAGCAACCTCCCCAGAGCTTGCTTATTTGAGCTACGATCGCGCTGCCCTGCTTGTCGTTCCTTCAGAGCCGATGACTGCGTCGGTGCCATAGCTCCTTGGGAGCGAGCGGACGGATGTCGCCGACCGTATCCCGACGTCTCGAACGGATCCGGGGGAAGCGCCTCCACTACCCGCACAGCCCGATTGCCCGTTCCCCGCCCCTCCGAGTCGAATCCAGGAAGTTCCGCTTGACTACCAGCGGGAGTTCAGGGGGGGGGAGCGGCTGACTGCCCGCCAGCTATACCCGGTGTCCGCCCGGTCGATGCCCCCCCACTTCCGAGTCCCGTGCCTCCAGACTGGCGTTGCCAAGTGGAGGCTGGCCCGGGAATATCGCTGGGTGGATCGCAGCCGCGGGATTAGGTGCACCGAAGTGAGGTTACGGTTGCTGCCGCGCACTGCGCCCACCCAACTCGAGACGTCCATCAAGCTTCTCGCTTTGGTCCTCAACTGCAGCCTCCATTCGGTCCAAGCGCGGCATCACGGAACCAGCGCCTCCCCTGGCGCCCCCAGCCGCTTCCCGCCCCTCACGCGCTTCTTGCCGCTCCTCGCGCCACATCAGAAAATCAAAAGCCAGTGCGACACGGGTCAAG